TAGGATGGAAAGGAGATGGGCTTTAGCTCAGAACAAAGGGGGTGGAGATGAGGGGAGGGGAAACTCAGAACAGAGGAGGTATGTAATATTGATAATTCACAAAAGAGGGACTAGTACTTCAGCAAGGGGCATCAGGTTTTTGAATGTGTTAAATGACACCTTTATGTCACAACTGGTACAAGCACCAACTAGAAAGGATGCTTGCCTGGATCTTGTCATAACAAACAATGTTGATCTTTTAACCAACATTCAAGTAAGGGAGCATTTGGGAAATCACAATATGGTAAATATTGAAATAAACTCAAAAAAGCAAAAGCAAGTGGGGTATACTAAAACATATAATTTAAAAAAAGCCAATTTCAATAAGGTTAGGGCAGCTCTACAACATATCGACTGGCATAAACTCCTTAGTGATAAAAACACTGAGAATAAATGGAAACTATTCAAACAAATATTAGAAAGGTACATTTCTCAGTATGTACCATCGGGTAATAAATATAAAAGAAACAAATTAAAACCAATGTGGTTTAGTAGAGAAGTAAAACAAGAGATTAAAACTAAGAAAAGGGCATTTAAAGCATTTAAATCAGACAAATCAAAGGCATCCTATTTAAGATACAAGGAAGCCAATAACACTTGCAAAAAGGCAATTAAAGTGGCTAAACTAGAAAATGAGAAATTGATAGCTAAAGAATGCAAAACCAACCCCAAATTTTTTTTCAAGTACATCAATTCTAAAAAAACAAAAAATGAAAGTGTAGGTACACTTGAAACAGAGTTGGGTTTATTAGCTAATGAAGACCAGGAAAAAGCAGAAATTTTAAATAACTATTTTTCTTCAGTATATATTAATGAGGATTGTATGGCAAGAGATATGCAAGTGATTGCTGCAAAAAACTTGCAAATAACTTGTGATTGGATAACTCGAGACAAGGTGCTACAACTATTAAAGAAAATTAATGTAACTAAAGCTCCGGGGCCTGACGGTATTCACCCACGAGTACTTAAGGAACTAAGTGGGGAAATAAGTGAACCTCTGTATTTAATTTTTCAAGATTCTTTTGTTTCAGGTGTTGTACCGGAGGATTGGAGGAAGGCAGGATATGTAAAAAGGGTTCAAAATCCTTACC